AGCTGGTGCCCACATTAGGAGGGAAAAATAAGGGACACCCTAAAAGTAGGGTGGTTCTGGAGTGGCTTAGGGGATAGGGCCCTGCCCCATCCTGGGGAGCACAGAGTGGTGTGTTGAAGTCCTGCCCCCCCCCCCATCCTGGGAGCAGCCAACACTGAACAAGGGACCCTCTGAAGGTAGGGTTGGTTCTGGGGTGGCCAAAGGGCTAGGGCATTCATCTGGAGAGCGCAAGGTGGGGGGCTTGAGTTGGGTCCCCTCTCCGCTTACCCTGGGAGTGACCAGACAGCTAACACAGCATAAGGGGCCTGCTGGGGGTAGTTTGAGTCAAAGGTATTGAGTGGACTAGAGGCTATCACAGTCCCCAGGGAAGCACAGGGTGGGGGGTTCAAGTCCTGCCTACCCTTAGAGCATCTAGACAACCAACCCCTGGGATGTACCTGCCTCCTGCATTAGGAAGGTGGGAGGGAGCTTGAGTGAACTAGGGTAAATGGCATTTGCCTGGGGAGGGCAGGGTTGTGGGGTTTGAATCCCATCCCCCAGACGACCAGACAGCTGCCCCAGGGCTGGAGCTGGCCCCTGCATTAGGAAGGCAGGATAAGGGACCCTCTGAAAAGGGGGAGGTTGGGTGGGTTCTGGAGTGGCTTAGGGGATAGGACATTCACCTGGGCAGCAGAAGGTGGGGGGCTTAAGTCTGGTTCCTCCTCTGCCCACCCTGGGAGTAACCAGACAGCCAACACAGGATAAGGGACCCTCTGACGGTAGGCAGGCAGGGACCATTGGTTCTGGAGTGGTCTAACAGATACGGCATTGGCCTGAAAGAATGGCAGTGGGGTGGATTCTGGAGTGACCTCCAGGCTAGGGCACAGCCTCTGGAGCATAGGGTATTGGGCTCATTCCCACTCCCCTCTGCCCATTCAGGTAGGATCTGTGCAGCCAACCCCTGCTTTACCTGGCTCCTGCAATAGGAAAGCAGGAAAGCAGGATAAGGGATCCTCAGGAGGTGGGGTGGGTGCTTGAGTGGCCTAGGTTATATGGCATTTGCTTGGGGAGGGCAGAGTTCTGGAGTTCAAGTCCCATCCCCCAAGTGGCCAGACAGCTGCCCCAGAGATGGAGCAACAGAGTCAAGGCAGGCTTACTCATGTCCTGGCCCTGCACCACTCCTGAAAGCAGCTGGCATGTGCAGGAATGGTGTCTGCACACAAGGACATCATGTGGAGACCTCCTGCTCTGATTTTCTCAGGGACATGCCAGTCATGTCCAGTCATGTCCAGGAGCACAATTACCATAGAGATAATGACTCCAGCCACGACAGGTTAGGCATTTTAGATCTCACTCCTCAAAGAATTAAATTTAAGCATAAGAGAGAAATGAAAGTTATGAAATACACAGACCAGTCACAAACCAAAACTAACCCACTTTGCAAGCAGTAAAAATAGTAACAGCCCCCCCATGTACGTATTGGGTCAGGAGATGAGAGGAAAGACCAGTGTGTGTTTGTGAGAATGAGACACACACACAGTGTGTGAGAGTGACAGAGATTTGTATTGTCACGCTCCCTCCATCCCCTTCTCTGTGTGGAGACAGGGTACAGGAGTGGGGGTGAAGAAGGACATCCTGACCTCAGTGAACCCCCTCTTCTCCCTCCCACACGTTGCACTGCAAGCAAGAGGCTCCCAAGGGGCAGCTTCAAGGCAGAAGGCAGGAGCAACATGACAGTGGGTAGAGGGGCAACTGAAGCACCAGCACTTGCGAGCTTCCCGGCCAAACCAGTAAGGATCAGCTGTCAGAGGCTCCAAGATCTACTGGTAGATCCCGATCTACTGGTTGGTGACCACTGCTATACTGCAACAGACTCTTCTGCATCCACTGCCAGATCAGTGGTACCCATCACTTCCATATGCATTGTTCAGTGCTTGCACTTCAGCCTTGTGATTGTAAAGTCTCCTCCTTCATCGTTAATGATGAGCTTCCCCTTTAGACTCCCACTCACACTCTTACATTTCCCCTCACTTAACTCACATCACTTCTAAACTGCTTTCCCCTCTTCCTCCTGGAACTGAATTTGCTCTGTTCCCGCCCTCACCCCATCCCCATAGGCCCAAGTCATTAGGAGTAAGTGGGTCCACAGCATCTGGCTGCAAATACCTTTTAACCTGATGCATGGCATGTACTTTAGCAACCCTTGTTTTATTGGGCAGGCTACATACTGTGAATTTCAGATTTATTTGCAAAAACCTCTTTCCATATAAAACTGCTCATTGCAAGATCTGCATCCCCAATACCTTTGACTCAAACTACACATCTGTATTTGAGTCACTGTTGCTTCTGTTACAGTCAAGGGCTACGTCTACACTGGCCCCTTTTCCGGAAGGGGCATGTAAATTTCACCAGTCGTCGTAGGGAAATCCACGGGGGATTTAAATATCCCCCGCGGCATTTAAATAAAAATGTCCGCCGCCTACTTTGAAGTAGGAATAAGAGCCTCCGGAAAAGGGCGCTTTTTCTGGAGGATCGGGGCCAGTGTAGACGCTCTTTTCCGGCTTTTTTAAAAGCCGGAAAAAAGCGGCGGACATTTTTATTTAAATGCCGCGGTAAATTTCACCAGTCGTCGTAGGGAAATCCACGGGGGATTTAAATATCCCCCGCGGCATTTAAATAAAAATGTCCGCCGCTTTTTTCCGGCTTTTAAAAAAGCCGGAAAAGAGCGTCTACACTGGCCCCGATCCTCCGGAAAAAGTGCCCTTTTCCGGAGGGTCTTATTCTTATACTTTGAAGTAGGAATAAGACTCTCCGGAAAAGGGCACTTTTTCCGGAGGATCGGGGCCAGCGTAGACGCTCTTTTCCGGCTTTTTTAAAAGCCGGAAAAAAGCGGCGGACATTTTTATTTAAATGCCGCGGGGGATATTTAAATCCCCCGCGGATTTCCCTACGACGACTGGTGAAATTTACATGCCCCTTCCGGAAAAGGGGCCAGTGTAGACGTAGCCAAGATGTGTAGTTTGAGTCAAAGGTATTGAGCATTTTCCCTGTTGATTGTCACAGAGCTTCTGTTTAAAAGCCGGAAAAAAGCGGCGGACATTTTTATTTAAATGCCGCGGGGGATATTTAAATCCCCCGCGGATTTCCCTACGACGACTGGTGAAATTTACATGCCCCTTCCGGAAAAGGGGCCAGTGTAGACGTAGCCAAGATGTGTAGTTTGAGTCAAAGGTATTGAGCATTTTCCCTGTTGATTGTCACAGAGCTTCTGTCAGGAGTCATGTCCGTACGACCCACTGGGTTAATTAAAGGCTGAAGGATCATAGAATCATAGAATACTAGGACTGGAAGGGACCTCGAGAGGTCATCGAGTCCAGTCCCCTGCCCTCATGGCAGGACCAAATACTGTCTAGACCATCCCTGATAGACATTTTTCTAACCTACTCTTCAATATCTCCAGAGATGGAGATTCCACAACCTCCCTTGGCATAGTGTTTGACTATCCTGACAGTTAGGAACTTTTTCCTAATGTCCAACCTAAACCTCCCTTGCTGCAGTTTAAGCCCATTGCTTCTTGTTCTGTCCTCAGAGGCCAAGATGAACAAGTTTTCTCCCTTCTCCTTCTGACACCCTTTTAGATACCTGAAAACAGCTATCATGTCCCCCCTCAATCTTCTCTTTTCTTAACTAAACAAACCCAGTTCTTTCAGCCTTCCTTTCATGTTCTCTAGACCTTTAATCATTCTTGTTGCTCTTCTCTGGACCCTCTCCAATTTCTCCACATCTTTCTTGAAATGTGGTGCCCAGAACTGGACACAATACTCCAACTGAGGCCTAACCAGTTGCTGCGGCAGTCAAAAAGGCAAATAGAATGTTAGGAATTATTAAGAAAGGGATAGAAAATAAGAGACAGAATATCTTACTGCCCCTGTATAAAACTATGTTATGCCCACATCTTGAGTACTGTGTACAGATGTGGTCTCCTCACCTCAAAAAAGATATTTTGGCCTTGGAAAGAGTTCAGAAAAGGGCAACTAAAATGATTAGGGGTTTGGAACAGGTCCCATAAGAGGAGAGGCTAAAGCGACTGGGACTTTTCAGTTTGGAAAAGAGGAGACTGAGGGGGGGATATGATAGAGGTCTATAAAATCATGAATGGTGTGGAGAGGGTGATTAAAGAAAAGTTATTCATTAGTTCCCATAATATAAGAACTAGAGGACACCAAGGGTATATCTAGACTACATGGCTCCATCGGCGGAGCCATGTAGATGAGTTTACCAGACACAGGAAAATGAAGTGGCGAATGAGGTTTAACAACTAATACAAATTAAGGGCTTTACTTCGAACTCCCATCAATTTCCAAAATGGTGACCACCTGGGAACATGCTAATGAAGTTTAACTCCCATGCTTCATTTGCAATTTCGGTCGCCTTCGTTAGCCTCCCTAGTTTGAATTAGGGGGCTAGTGTAGACATACCCTAACTGGACAAACTTTAAAAACCACAAATAGCCTTGGGGACATGAGCTTCGTTGAAACGAATCAGACTAGTTGATAATCAAGTCCAGCATTAGCCTCCAGACCTTCTATTTCAAAATAAGACAAATTCCTACTAAAAGTGTACAATCCTGCACCAAGAAGGAATAGCCCCTTTCTGACTGCCAGGAGTCTCTTCTGTAAAACGTGAATTAAATCTCTTTATTTTTCTAAAAAAGGGAGAACATGCTTTTTGCAAGATACTGAGCTGATCCTCAGCTCCTGAATGATACCAATTTGCACCAATGGTGATGAGTTCTGTCAATATAAATAACACCTTTCTTCAACCCTCGTTACACTGATGAAGCTTCATTAGCTGCTACAGTAAGATGTTTATGGCTGTGCTATGCATTATACAATGTATTTATACATGCCTCAGAGCTGAGAAAGAAACCCTGGATATGTTTCTTAAGACCTAATGGTTTGCATCCTGTCAAAAAAAATGGCTGACAAGAAATGCATTTGTACATATCTTTCTGCTCATACCTGTCTAGGGAGATACAGCACAGGTGAAGGATTGATGCTGTGGTGAGCAGGACATCTAGAGATGTTCGGACCAGGCAGAACATCTCTCCATAAATCCATTTATCCTGAACCAGCTCAATGGCTCCAAAGGGCATCACCAGCACAGACACCAGCAGGTCCGCAAAGGCAAGTGAGACAATGAAATAATTGGTCTTGATTTTCCTACAAGACATATATTTAGAAAAATCAGTGGGGATGCTTAGGCAATGGGACTTCAGCTTTCTGCCTTCTGCCCCAGCAAGTCTCTGCAGATCTCTGAAACATGCTCATGGCCTCCCAGAGGGCCCTGGATAACCTGGTTAAGAACCACTGTCTTCAGGTATGTCTACACTGAGTCAGAGCAATGACTGTGGGACATACACACATATACCTATCCTAACTTTAATCTAGCTAGTGTGAATATAATAGCAGAGAAGCCGTAGCAGCACTGTCCAAGCCCTCGCGGGACCCACGGTATGTACTTGAACAGTTAACCTGTGCTGTTATGGCTTCCCTGCTATTGTCTGAGCTAGCTAGATCAAAGCTAGCTTGGCTATGTTAGTAAGTGCTGCAGTCTCACCTCTAATTGCAATATAGGTGCGCTCTTAAACACACCCTCTTCTCCTTCCCCTCCTCTCAGTCCATACGGAAAGAGGGTCTAGCAACTTGCAAAGATTTATAAAGAAAAGTCATTTTGTTTCTAGATTTGAGGGCCAACTAACTGTTCATCAGGTTCCCTGAAAAACTGCAGCCAAAGTAGGATACAGAGACATCATGGTAACAACATAAGGGTATGGCTAGACTACAAGCCTCTTTCGAAAGAGATCATATAGATATCCACAAGACTTTTGAAAAAGTGATCAGCTGAGAGCACTCAGGCAAACTGGACGCTCTCTTTCGAAAAAGCCCTGTTTGCGTTCAAGAACGCCTTTTTTCGAAAGAGCTCTTTCAAAAAAAAAAAAAAAAAGGCTTTCTTCCTCAGCTATGTCTAGACTACATCTCTCTTTTGAAAGAGGGATATAAATTAGACAGATTGAAAGTGCAAATGAAGCATGGATTTAAATATCCCGTGCTTCATTTGCATATTCGTGTCCGATCGCTGTTTCAAAATAGGGTATTTCAAAAATGAAACTGCAGTATAGACACAGTTCTTTCAGGAAAAAAAACCACATCTAGACTCAGTTTCATTTCTGAAATACCTTTTTTCAAAACAGTGTTCGGATGCAAATATGCAAATGATGCACAGAATATTTAAATCGACGCTTCATTTGCACTTTCAATCTGCCTAACTTACATCCCTATTTCAAAAGAGGGATGTAGTCTAGATGAGCCCCTCATAAAATGAGGTTTACTGCTGTTGAAAAAACTGCCACGTTCTTTCAATTTAATTTTGAAAAAATTTTCTTTTTCAAAAAATCTATGTAGTCTAGACATAGCCTAAAAGGCCTGAGCTCCAACTACCTAATAGGAACTTCTGTAGTGATAAGGTGGAAAGTGTGGGACTTCAGGAAATGAGTTGGTGACAACACTGTGCTTGAATAGCTCCTCCAAGGCATGCAGGACAGGTGGAAGGAGCGGTTGGGGGAACACTAAGAAAGAGTCTTTTGTGAAACATTCAAACTTTCCTCAGCACTTTTAGTGCGGCCCACAACCCAGTTAAAGCTAACATGCCGGTATCAGGATGGGAGCTCTCTGAAGCTGATAGTCAGATGAACTGCTAGTTAGCAGGTTCCCCAGTTATTAGGTTAGTATGGGAAATGCTCTGCTTAATATACCTCTGCCCTGAGTCTCATTAGATTACATAACCTGCAGCTTTATCACAGAAGCAAAGTCCTCACATATAATTTGTTTGTCCCTTTGGTAAACTGTGTACTATTAGGCAACTGCTAATTTTATTACCCGCACATTAATCATTATTAATCTGAATTTTTATTTCTGTTTTCTAAGGAAGACAGTTGAGAAAGATAATGGCTGCAGGGTTAGACTCATTGGCAGAGCTGTGTGAAATCTCAGGGCTGGAGCAGCAAGCAGTACAGCAGGTCAGGGTAGAGCTGCATTAGCAGAGCTGAGGCAGGTGGGGCTTTGTTGGAAGATATGTGGACTTGAAGTGCTTTCATTCATGTGCACTGAGGTGCATCTGCAGACTCCAAAGGCTATAAACTATCACTAGAGTAACCACATCTTGGCAGGGGGTTGGGTGCCCACATGTTTTTTCTAAGATGGGTGCCTCTTTTCTTTAGGTCCTTTGAAAACCTTACTGTATGTCTCATGGCTTCCTGATAATATGCTAATTGTTACAGAAAGGCTCATGCTCCCTGCATTTTTCTGACGCGTTTTGTGAAAAAGGAACTGGAATAGGAAAGTAGGGTTGCCAGGTGTCTGGTTTTGAACTGGACAGTCCAGTATTTGAGCTTTCTGTTCAGGAAACAAATTGAGAAAATATAAATGTCCGGTATTTTCTAAATAAGATGTAATGTAGATTGTGATGTCATGTCAAGTATGTCCAGCATTTTTGTTGAAACCATCTGGCAACCCTATAGGAAAGGTAAGAACCTGCAATGCTTCTCCATAGTGCCCCATATGGCTTTCTGCAAGTGATTTATTTGTTTTTGGTGGCTGGGGTGCTAAAAATATAGTACTTCTACATAGCAACATTATTTCGAAATAACTGGTGTTATTTTGAAATAACTTAGTCCACAGCTACACAGCAGGCAGTTATTTTGAAATAATGTTGATATACTGTCAAACTGGAGGACTTCTTGCTCCGACTCCTATAACCCTCATTGTCCGAGGAGTAAGGAAAGCCAGAGGAAGAGTGCTCTATTTCGAAATAAATGCTGTGTAGACACTCCCTATTTCAAAATAGACTAACCGAAGTGTTGGAGTATAAGCTTTCGTGGGCAAAGACCCACTTCCTCAGATGCAACTGACGAAGTGGGTCTTTGCCCACAAAAGCTTATGCTCCAACACTTCAGTTAGTCGATAAGGTGCCACAGGACTCCTCGCTGCTTTTGCAGATTCAGACTAACATGGCTACCCCTCTGATATTTCAAAATAAGCTATGCAATTGACGTAGCTCAATTTATGTAGCTTATTTTGAGTTAAGCCCTGCTGTGTAGACATACCCATAGTGACTGGATAATAAAACAATCACACTTCTGCATTGCAAATCTGAGTCCAGACACAGTGAAAACAATATCCAAGACTGACTTTCCTGTGACCACTGGGAGAAGGAAGGTGAGAGCATTCTTTATTACAGTGTTTTATGTTTTTAGTTGTATGTTGTTGGCTTTGTTCCCTCCACCCCTTGCAAGTTACATGGCTCTGTCCTTGTAAAATTCTCCTAAAGCAGGAGACTGAGCGGGCTTGTATGTCGGCTCACCTGAGCTGCCTGTCTCTGCATACAGCTACCATCACCAGCAAGTTCCCCAGGATGGCCATGAGTATAACCGCCGATATGAAGGTGAGCAGGGCAATCTTCTCTGCCACACCAAACCCCTCAGTCGAACTGGAAACCATAAAAAGAGAATGCATCAGAGGAGGGTCTTCAGCCACAACATTAAGCAAATAACTTCAGGTAGATGCATTTGTTTAAACAATTCTTTCTGATCACACTTTTCTCTGAAATTTGCCTCTCTGCCTCAGCAATAGCTGTTGAGGGTTTTTTTGTTTTTTTGTTTTTTTTTGGGGGGGGGGGGGATATTCAGGCCCCAAATCCTTCAGCTTTGCATTTTATAATATGTACAAATGAAAATGTCTAAATTCTAGTTTATGGAAATTATATGGGACATGTATGTGTTCTGGACAGGTGAGAGGAAAAATTTATACGTAAAATATCTGCAAATTTTCTGTCTGCTCTTGTTGACCCTGGGACTAAATAAATTGATTACAAAGGACTAATTTTTAGGTGCTGAATTTGAAGACAAAAAGGCCCAATTATGATAGGTAAGTAACGGTATTCAGTATTTTATGAAAATCAGGGAAGTCGAGTACAGCTGGCTTCATTTTTTCTTTTTTTTTCTTCAGTAAAACTATTTTTTTAATTGAAAAGCTTTTTCTTTTTTCAAAAATTTCAGTTCTTTCATAAAAACTGAAAACTGGCTTATAATTTTGAAATTTTGAATTTACACACTGTTTTTGCTCCTTTTTTCCCCACTGAATATAATAGAATGAGTGATGTCCATGTTGTTGTTATTTAACGTTTTGCTATTGTTATTTTGTAATTTTCAAAAAGTTACTAAGTAGAAAAAGGAAAAAAGGAAAAATCTGAAGAAGGGTTAAAATACTTAACCCTAGACATGCTTAATTTTTTTATTAATGGGGGAAAGTAAAGGAGAAAAATATGAAAAGTTGATGTTTCAAAGATTCAAATATCGGAAATTTCAATTTTTTTAAAAAAATATAAAAATGTAAAAAAAATGGGAAAAATACAGATTGTTCTGTTTTGAGCCCTTCAGAACAAGATCAACATACTGAAATATTTAGTGAAATTATTTTTTCATTTTTTTTTAACCTACTCTCCTACATATCTACAAAAAGTACTTAAAATCTAAGACATCCAGAACTATTACATACTTTTGAAAAGGACAAACAGCATAGCCTCCAGTGGCCGGGACACCAGAGGCAGCAGGGCTAGGGCTTGGGCCCTCCTGGAGCTGGTGCCAAGGACTCTGGGCTGCAACGGGGTCACTGGACGCAGTTTTGTCCCTGGGATCCATCATGCGGTGCAAAATCATGGTGCAACACATATGATTAAAATTGCATTGAAATTTGTCCGTGAAGTAGGGATTTAAGCAGAATGTATCAATAAAATAGTGTATCTTCCTCTAATGTGCAGAAGAATTTAAAATACTTGCATTTTAGTGTTTTTACCAGGAAATTACAGCTGTGCACCCTTAACCCTGAGTTTAGCAGGATTTTGTGCTGAAAATATTTATTAGTATACGAGGGAGAGAGGAGAAAATTTGTTTTGTCTTAATTACAAGCCTTTTGTACTTGCTAGGAAGATGTGTTATACAGTACTCAGTAGAACAGTTGAGGTTAAATGCAATAAATACAGTTCACCAACTTCATATTTTGGAAACACAGACTTTAGTTTAGATTGGTTTACTCACTTATTTTTTTAACCACACCACTACTGGTTATACTCTCCTGAAGCCAATTAAGCTAGATTACAAAACAAGTTCAGAAGAAAGTATTACAACTAACGTTAGGCTCAAAACAACTCCCAGATTCATACCCTCCAGCCTCCCTCCCCCCCCCCCACGA